AATAACAAATAACTTTGATTTGCCATTCTTTTGATTAATATCTCCACGAACCAGAGTAGAGGAATTATCTTTTCTTATTTTGACTAGAGATTTCCCTGGGAATGATGAATCAAACCTTCCATTAAAGAGAGGTAGGTTCTTCTTGGAACATGCCCCATCATTGAAAGAAGCAGCCACACAAAGGCAATCCTCTAAACAAGCTTGTCTACACCAATCTTCATTTACTGGTTTGAAGTGTTCGTAGTCACAATTTGGCCAATTGATATGAGGCATCTCAATGAAATCAAAAAGGTGTGCTTCGGAAGAAGTTTCATCACAACTTTGTAGAACAAAGTTTTGTTTGCATCCTTTCATCACATCATTTGGATCAATGATGCTATAACCAATTGGACAATGACAACTTTTATTCTTACCATCAAAGTTACAGTAGCTGTTGAATCCACAAGCTCCACCTCCTGTTGGTCCATTAATTCTCATACAAATATTTGAAGGCGTCACAGATTGAATTGACCAGGCCATAGGCAGATTTCTTGTACTGGAGTTACTACCCTTGGGATAGATATAGTGCCGAAAGACTCCATCATATTCAAGAACAGCTCTCTGGTAAAGATTTTGTGCAGAGATGTCCTTCAGGGATGATATTGTTTGGATTATACTTTGATTACTTCTTTGAACGACTAGAAAACCAGATTGGTTAAAGACCACTGAGAAGTCACTGCCAAAAACCTGGGTACTCCAATAAGCAGAATTTACAGAATCAGTTGGGAAATCAGTTGTGTAAAGCACAAAATTCCCATCATCTTGTAGTGCAAACATAAATCTCCCCTTTGAATAATTATTCGGCGAAAAGTGTGAAACAAGTTGAGCAGGTTGATGCAAAACCTGTCCTGGTAAAATTGTGTCAGTAGGCTGATCAAAAGTTTGCCACCAATTTTGAGATCCTTGACCAACCAACACAAAGTTACCAGTATCAAGCATAGCAGCATAAGAAACTCCAAATCCTATAGGGTTAGCACTCCAAATTTGCTTACCAATGTGATCAACGAGTTGGAAAGAACCATCTGAAGTGAGCTCAACTTTGGAACCCTTTGGAGCAAGATTTTGTCCATTGACCGACCAGACAACAGTTTTTTCTGGTATTTTGTTGAACCAGATGGCTAGTAGGAACCCATCTTTCTCAATTTTCTGGAAACCAAATGCAAAATCACCAGATGGTGAAGGCCAGAAGGAGCCTTTTTCAACTGCAGTCAGTGAACTGCCCAAGGATATGTTCTTGGAAGCTTGAGAGACTACAGAATGCGAAAGCAAAGCAAGTAAGAGAGATAGCAAAATTGGGTATGGCTTTTCACAAGCCATTTGATGAAACTTGAGTAAGAAGTAGTGTTTCTTCTTAATATAGGCACCAGTCAGCTTTGATGCAGAGTGAAGCAGATAAATAAGTCCATGGAGAAGAACCTCCCAGGTAAAAGTCCAAGTGAAGAAAAGTTTGTATTTCCTCACAACCGCATATTAATTATCTAAATCGTTTTTAGACTTGGGAGGAAAAAAATCTTATCGTTCGATGACTAGAAAAGTTCGTGCTTCCCTCGTTTTTCAAGTACTACTGTTGGAAAGGAGGCTAGCTGAGTCTTTAAAGATCTTAATTGTTGGTTTGTTAAGTAAATTGTCCAGGATATCCATAGCTTCCATTCAAATGGTAGCTACTGTTTATTAGTTAAACATCGGACTCCCTTTTCCTTCCTAGCGCACATGAATCATTTATTTGAAAAAAATATGGTTCTAGTCACAGTCAGAACCTCGGCGTTTTTATAAGATGCAATACATTACGAGTATCGTAAATTTTTTTATTTAATTAAATAAGATATGAGCTTTAGTTAGCTTATACCCTAAATGCATTTGAATGTATTTAAAGCTGTTAAAATGATTTGGCCAAAAAAAAAAACTGTTAAAATTATTAAAGCATGGACTCTGTTGTTGGGTGTGATTTTTTTTTTAATTGACATAGATATCCTTCTATTAGGCCCAAGGCATTGTCGGACATTATCTCATATATGTGGACACTTGTTTTAATAAAAATTCAAACTTTAGTTCGTAATGTCATGACTGGCTCCTTTTATTAGACTAAATCCCACTAGTAACGTGAATTTAATTCAAAAAACATACTTAATTTCTTATGAGAGAATTTCAAAAAAAAAATCTTTAAATTTTAAAATTATAAATCAATCTTGTTCATTGCACTTTAATAATAATTAGTAACATTTAAAAAGAAAATGACAACACGTTTTCGTAATCCTTCTTGATTTAAAATTTTAAAATTTTAGAGGTTTTTTTTTTGAAATTTTCTCATTTCTTATTATTGAAAGAATAAAAGGAGATCTTTATTGGCCAATCAAGCGTAAGGTTTAAAAAAAAAAACCACTTAGTGAGTTACAGTATGTGCTTTCGTCGTTTTCTATCCGGTCCTTCCCCAGTTCCCCCATTAGTAAAAGGAACTGTTCTGATTGCTTACCTTTCAAAGGATTCCAATTATTCTTTATGAGTATCATAATCTTTTTGTTTTATTAAATCAAATGAGATTATTTATATATTGACCACTTACTCTGTTAGGTAAACAAAGACGTCCAGGAAGAAAGAAAACGCGTTTTTATTATCCATAGGACAACTGGTACCAATTGGTAAGTTCGTCTCTGCTTCCGGTCCAAATGAGTAATGACCAATCAATATTCCCTCCATTGTGAAATCAAAAAATGGAGGTCATTCTCTATTTTCTTGATTTATTCAATATTATTCTCCTATTAAAACAAATAAATTTATAAAATATTATCATAACTTTACTTTGAAGGTTCAAATTTAAGACTAACACTTTCTCCTCATTTTTGAGATGCATACTCAATGTGGAAATTTAAATATTACTGCATAATTTGACTTTGAATGTGATCCCATGAATTCCCTCCTGCCCCTTGAAACTGGGAAAATTGCCCCCTCCTCAACGCAAAACAATGGAAATTGCCCCCTCCTCAACGCAAAACAATGGAAATTGTTCACATTAATGGGCTAATGGCAGGACTTGGCAAACACTGACCATGAGACAGTCACCATTTTATTATGTGGGGCCAACATGCATGCATATATCACATCACAAGTTATTTGTAAGAAAAAATTTTATCCTAAATATAAATCATGGGTATTTAGTAATCAGTTTTTAATTTTATCCGTATTTAATTGTACTTGGAAAGAGAGAAAATAAGAAAAAAAAATATTAAGAATGATTGGTAAATGCACTGAGAGAAAACTTTCACAAAGATAAATTTAAAATTTTTTATCAATTTAATGTATTCTTTAACATGTAAGAATAAGTTACAACTGACTTATAATAAGAATCAAAGTAATACGTGTGTATCTTAGACAGAATCTTTCCATTACGCAACCTCTCCATTTAGCCTCCATTTAGATAAAACAGTGTCATTTGTCCGTTTAAATAAAACGCTATGTTCTCCAACTGGGCACTTAAGCAGTAATGAAACACCAATGATTTTAGCACATGTTCTGTGCAGGGGAAGAGCACTAATAAATTAATCATACAGAACATAATAAACAGTGAGGTGAAAATTGCTTTCACGTTCTGTGTAATAAATTCAAAGACATGACAAAAATTTAGCACATAATCATTCTCTTAGATGGCCAGGAGTAGTTCTACTCCCTACTATTTAGCAGCTTTTGTGTCAGCCATATAGCGAGCACTAAAAGATACCGCCTCCTGTGGCAATAAGATATCACCTCTTTGATCACCAGCCAACGGTAACTGTGCAGGCATTACTATGGTTGCAAGAAACATCAAAGACAGTTCAATTTGTGAAACGCCCAACCATTTTGAAAAATAAAACTGTAGTTTGGAATACTGTAGATAAAGCAACAGACATAGAGGGGTGTAATTTGTGAAGGAAAGGAGGGCATTAGAGCATTTTAAAGGGTGAGAAATAAAATAAGAGGGTACCTCTGGGCGATGGTGGGTGAAGGTGAACAGGACCATGGGTGAACACTTAGAAGAGCATCATGGATGAAAAGAATCAGGAATTATCACTAACAACAATGAGATGTGGGAAAGAAGAGAAGTCGACCACGGAGGAATAAAAAGCTCATGAGACTGAAACGATAAACGCTCAGTTGGATTGGAAAAAGCTGTAAAAGTTTTTCAAAAAAAATCGTAAAACGACACTGTTTTATTTAAATGGAGGCTAAATGGAGAGGTTGCGTAATGGAGAGGTTCTGTGCTGATAGGCGTTATAAGGACCTAATAATAACTTTACATAAATTAAAGAACTTAGCTAAAATTAATTACTACCTGTGGTCAAAAATATAAGAGTTGGTTTGTAATGTAACTTATGTTACAAACTAACTCTTATATTTAGAACTAAAAATAGTATTTCTTATTTGAAATCGTTTGCAACCACTGCCTTGCAGATCATCCAATTTGGACTTGGAAGAAGAATTTGATTCTAGGTGGTTTTCAAAGGGATCATTTTTTTTTTGAGTAGATTCAAAGGGATCATTTATTTGCTTGTTCTTCACAAACTAGTTTTGTGCAAGGCACCAACTAGGAATGGACTTGACATATCAAACGTGAATTAGTAATATGACAAATTTAAATTTAAATTAGAAAGCAGGACAACCGCCTATAGTGTTAGAGCTAGGAAATGGCCTAATGGACAAAATATAAATTTTTTAAAGTACAAATCGCAAATACAAGATTAAATTTTACTGAATGCTCGTCTCCTTCATTCAAAAATATATATACGCATATATATATTTGATCCTTCAAATTAGGCCCTTCAAAAGTATGTTGGCAGGTTGATATAATTAGGGAGAAAGATACAATCACATAAATAAGTAAAAGACAAAACAGTCTCACAACATGGTTTAATTCTTATGAAGTTCTGAGATTACCCTGTTTAGGAAATGATCTAACAATCTTTGTGTGAAAAAAATCTATCTGTTGTAGATCGTCACAACCCCAGCTGCCACTACTAGTAATGTGGAAGAACAAGTTTGATTATATGTAGTCACAACAAAATCTTAAAATAAACGAGAACCACAAAATAAACTTGGATTCTTATAAGATACACTAAACAATACTACATCTGGTCCTAAATGTAAAATCTAGTTTGAAGTGTAACTGCAAAATAGATCTTATATTTAGGATCAGGGTAGTGTATGATATTTATTTGGTGGAAGGCTTATCATTCACTTGTAAAGGATGGCAGGTCAGGAGGATTTGATACATCCATGAATCCTTCAAGCATTTGCACAACTTGCTTCATGGTGGGTCTTGTAGATGGATTCTCTTGAATACACCATATGCTGATCTTCACATACTCTTCTACCCTCTTCATGTCAATTTGAGCTTCCTCATCATCTTCCACTAATGGGTCCAATCTCCTATAGTGAAAGCAATCATATGCCCAATCTATTAGTACCATCTTATACTCATCTTCAACATTCATGTCAAAGTTCTTTCTGCAACAAACGAGCTCCAATAACAAAACTCCGAAGCTGTAAACATCCACCTTCAAGGTAATTGGCTGGTTTTTGAACCACTCTGCTGCAACATACCCCTTAGTTCCTCTTATTGCTGTAGTAGTTACAGATTGGTCAATCTTCAATAGCTTTGCTATCCCAAAATCTGAAATTTTAGCTGTGTAAAAGTCATCAAGCAGGACATTTTGAGGTTTGATATCACAGTGAATGATCCGGGTATTGCACTCTTCATGTAAGTACAGAAGTCCTTTAGCTATTCCTATTGCAATTTGCATTCTTTGATGCCAAGTTGGCCTTTGATCTTCAAAAAGGAAATTAGCTAAAGTTCCTCTGCTCATAAATTCATAGACAAGTAGCCTGTGCTCTCCTTCATTGCAGAATCCCAGTAGTTGCACCAGATTCCTGTGATGAGTTCGACCAATGGCGCTTACTTCTACTTCAAATTCCTTATCGCTTCCATTGAACATATGTAGTTTTTTCACAGCAATGAGATTCCCTGGTATGTCAGGTAGAAATCCTTTGTAGACAATGGAAAATGCACCACGGCCAAGTTCTTCTGTGAACCCATGTGTTGCTTCCTTCAACTCCTTGTAGCTGAAACTTCTGAGATTCATATTTGATATGAATTGGACATTTTTATTAACTTTGGAATTATTTTGGCCAAATCGATATGCAACCAAACAAGCTGCTATTAGTAACAAGAAGTTCAAGAAAACTGAACCGCTTAAAAGTGTAGAACCTATTATAATCAATGTTGATTGATCAGTCTTTTGATCAATATCATCAGGACTTAAAGGAGAATAATCCTTTCTTATTTTGATCAAAGCTTTCCCTCCAATAGAATTATGCTTTCTTCCATTAGAGAGAGGTTTCTTCTTCTTCCAGCATTCTCCGTCTCTGAAGAAAATAGAGGAACAAAAGCAATCTTCTAAACACTCTTGTCTGCACCAATCCTCAGTCACTGATTGGAAGTGTTCATAATCAGACTCTGGCCAATCCGTACTGGGCATCTCGTCGAAATCAAACAGATCTGTTTCTAAAGAAGTTTGATCACAACTTTGCGAAACAAAGTCCTGTTTGCAACCTTTCATCACATCCCTTGGATCAATAAAACTATAACCACGTGGACAATGGCAACTTTTAATCGCCTCATTAACTGTACAATAACTGTTCCAACCACAAGCTCCGCTTCCTGTCTTTTCAGTAACTTGTAAACATATATCTAAAGGTGTGACAGACACAATTGACCATTTTCCAGTGCTAGAACTATCACTCTTGGGGTATATATAGTGCCTAAAGACTCCATCATAATCAAGAACAGCTCTTTGATAGAAATCTTGTGTGGATGGAGCATTTGACGATATTATGCTAATTATAGTTCCATTATCTGCACTTAAAAATATATAGCCTGATAGGTTGAAGTTCAAAGAGAAGCGAGCAGTATCTAAAACTTGAGTACTCCAATAAGGAGAATTCACTTCATCCTTTGGGAAATTGGTTGTGTAAAGCACAAGATTCCCATCAGTCTGTAGTTTAAACTGAAATCTTCCAGGTGAATAGTTGGTTTCCAAATAGCGTGAAACAAGTTTAGCAGGTTCTTTCAAGACTTGCCCTGGTAAAATTGTGTCAGTGGGTCGAGCAAAGCTCTGCCACAATTTTTGAAAGTCATGACCAAATAACACAAAGTTACCATAATCAAGCATGGCTGCATAAGCAATTTTACCTAAAGGGTTGGCATTCCAAATTTGCTTACCTTCGGGATCAACAAGATGGAACCAACCATTTGAGGTGAGCTCAACTTTAGAACCCTTTGGTGCAAGCTTTTGTCCATTGGCTGACCAAACAACTGTGGTTTCTGGTATTTTGTTGAACCAGATGGCTAGTAGGAATCCATCTTCCTCGATCTGTTTGAACCCAAATGCAAATTCATCAGATGTTGAAGTGCAGAATGATGATCTATCTTTCCCCGCCGTTAGGGATGAACCTGGAGTGATGATATTCCTTGAAGTTTGAGCAGCTACAGAAAGTGAAAGCAAGGCAAATAAGAGAGACAAGAAGATTGGAGATAGCTGCACAAAAGCCATTATTAGATGAAAGGACTTCGTTTGATTTGATGAAGCATGAATATACAAGTAGTGCTTCTCTTCTTAATTATAAAGAATACCAGTCAGCATCTGGAAGAACCTATCAGGTCAGGTCTAGAAGCAGGAGCCAAGAAAAATTTGTATTTTTTCTTCGGAAGTGACACATAAGCTTTGTGGAAAAATTATGCAGTGCTTCTCATCTTAACTATAAAGAATACCAGCCAGGATCTCGAATATTGCTGAGTCAAGCTTTCCAAAAGTTGTGGGTTTTCCGAAGAATATAGCGCGAAGAACCTGTCAGGTCAGAGCTAGAAGTCAAGATTTGGCCAAAAAAAGAGCTAGAAGTCAAGAAAATTTGAATTTTCCTTCCAAAGTCATACACGCACTTTGAGGAATTGTTGAAAAATATACTAGACTCCAAGATAATGTGTTTGTATCTTTTTAACCAAAGGGTGTTGAAAAGTACAATGGATATGTGGCAACCATTCATTTGGAAGACGAATTGCACAGCATCTAACAACCATTCAAATGATGGCCACCATTCATTACGAGAATTTTTTGTACTTAAAATATGCACTAAAACACGAGTATTATATTCCTTCGGATTTAAATGTAAAAACTAGTGGAGGGTTTGTTTTAATTTTAAATACAAAACTTCTATTCACCTTTTCTCTCACAAATTTATAAATTTTTTCCCATCTCTCTATCCATGGATGTTAAGAAATGTTTTCATTAAATGAGTAGTTTCTAATGCCAATAGTTGAAGAAGATATTTTAGAAAAATCAATACATATTTTTATAAATAATCTACTTAACTAATTTTCTTAATCTCTACAAATTAGTTATTTAGCTCTCAAATTTGAGATCAAAGGAAGTACTACCTCCAGTCATTAATATAAGATCTACTTTACTAATTTGAGTAGATTAAAGAAAGTAGTTAAATTAGTTTACTTGTAAAAAATATGTATTGATTTTTCTAAAATACCCTCTTTAATTATTGGGGTTGACACTACTGTTCGATGCAAACTTTCTTAATATATGCAATCAATAAGATTAGTTTAAATAAATAAAAAGACAAAATAAATTAAGTTCTTATATTTAAGACTAAATTCGATCTCCTACTAGCTTTTATATTAAGCATTGCACCCAGTATAATAAAAAAGTTGTGCTTGAAGATAATTAAACCTATAGGAAATAGGAGTGGCTGAAATAAAAAAGAATCTGATTAAGATCTTGAAAAGGGGGAACAGGTTAGTCTCAAGTAGACTTCTAAAGCAGTTAGCATGTGGTTAAATGTGTTTTACTTTTGAAATTTTATCCTATACTTTCTAAATTATATTTATTATAATATTTTATTAATTTTATCAAAACTTTTATTTTCATTCCATAATATTTTTTTAATCTAATATATCAATTCACTTTAAATTTACCTTTTCAAGTGATATTTATTTTGACTCGTTTACTTATTGAAAAAAGAAGAAAAAAAAATTTATTCAAATATTTATTTTCCTTCAAATTAGAAAATAACAACGTCAAGAACAGTTTGGAAACTTGGGCTTGGCCCACGACGAAAAATACACAAGATATGGAAAATCGGCCCACATGGGAAGAGCAGGGATTTTAGAAATTTTTCTTTCTTAATATTCCCTCCTCCTCATTTGTCTCCCACATTCCCTCCATCAAAACATAGCCTATTATTTTAAAATTAGATGGACTATTGTATATTTTATAAAACTCAAAGAAATGAGTAAATTCATTTATTCTATCAGGGCCTTTGTTTTTGGCCAAATTTTATAAAGACTTGTAAACATAAAATAGTAGAATTTATTGGAAATATTATATATCATATTAATATTTACGCCTATATCAATTTGAATATTGATCTTTTTATAGCTTACAAATACCATTCGCCATGCTATAGTACATGTGAACCAGGTAGCTTTTCGCAATACACAAACAAACAAGAATACAATGGTCCTGCAGTGTATATTGCTTTATATCATATCTGATACTTAATATAAGAGTTACGTATCTGATTTGAGCATATTGAAAAAATTAGCTAAGTTAGTCATTTGTAACATACATGAATTGATTTTCCTACAATACCCCCTTTTAATCATGATTATCCTTAGATGGAAACCTCTTGACATGTGTGATTAATGAAAATACATTAGAAAATGAATTACAAATTTGATGACAAAATGGATTAAAGTCTTACATTCAAGACCAAATTTAATTTATAACTAACTCTTATATTAAAGATGAAAGTTACTACCTATGGTCCTTAATATAGGAGCTGGTTGACTAATTTGAGTAGATTAAAAAAACTAGTTAAATTAGTTGTTTATAATAAATAAGTGTTGTCTTTCCTCTAATATTTTTATTAATCAAGCATATTGGCTAAAACTATTATTATTACAAGGATTGCCTTGAAAAAAAATAAATAAATATAAGAGACAAAGTGAAGTGAGGCCTTATATTTAAGACTAAAATAAAAATTGAACGAACTTTTATATTAAAAAATCAGAGTTAGTATTATATACAGTGTACTGAGTATCTAGTAGGGAAAATGGAAAAGAATATTCTGGATTCTTTTCTTTTTTCCCTGACCAAACAAAGGGCAGAATAGAAAGGAACAGCCCAATGTTTTTGTTCCATGCAACTTGGAGTGAGCTGGCTATAATGCTCCAATTTGGTCTGCCCCACATTTCTCTTTCAGCTTTTTCTCCTCCCAAATTATCACATTCCACCACTATAGTGAGGTGGTAATAGGAATTAATTCATCAGGTTGATGAGATGAGTTAAAATTAGCTTGCCTTCTGCCGAGTTAAATCCCAACCCAGCTCATTGTACTATCAAAACATTTTTTTTTTACATTTTTCAAAAGTTTATTTCTTATTATTAAAGTAAATTATAGAATTTTACAAATTAAATTCAAGTTGTTTCTATATTTTTGTCAATTATATAATTAAATTAATCCCAAAACTTATCAATGCAAACATATAATTTATTTTTTTGAATTATTCTATCAATATAAAAACGATAAATCAATAAAAAAAAATCGAGTTCGATGTTTCTAACATGAATAGACGAGGCTGTGTTAAACTACTACTATTTACCAATCAATTATTAACAAAATAAATTGCCGGGCGCCATATTTTTATTATTTTATTATTTATGTCTCTCTTTCTAATTTTTTACTGTTTGCAACTCAATTTGGCAATTTGCTGGATTTTCGTTTAAAAATTTATTCATAAATTATTAATTATTTATATAATACTCGTACAATTATTAAGCCTAGTTCCGATCTGTGAACTGTGAATTTAAACTGTGGGCGTCACAGAGAAGCGTGAACTGTCGCCTGTGCTTGTCCGGTAATAATAATTTCCACGTCAGCTCAGCTTTTTTTATTCCATTATTATTTCACTTTTTCAAAGATTCCCTACCTATGCCTTTGGACACCACCAAAGATTCCATACCCTTGCTCATTTTTTTATTACAAAATCAATATATTATTGCATTATTATTAATATATAATTCATTTTTGAATTCCGTACAGATACATGAAACCCATTAAATTAATATTTCTGCCGGCGTATTAAATTAATATATTCACACACATATTATAGGTTTTTGGGTATTCCTCCTAACATATTATGCACAATAACTTATAGTAAAAAATAAACGCCATTTACACCTCTTTTGATAAAAAAAAAAAAATTTGACTAATAATGAATATATATTTATATACACATGTGTTTGCAATTATTGTTCAATTTTAATCCATTAATTGCGGACAAATCAGAGTCCTTTCATGAGCTTCATCCTTTGAAATATTAGCTCTCAATTTATTTTAAAATTAGTATTAAGATAATATTGTATTATCATAGCAGATCATAAAATAATTAGTAGAACTAAAATTTTTGTTTGGGTGGTGTGACTCAAATGTTATCAAACTCGACTTGAATATACATTTTGACTGTTTTAATAAATTAATTTTTTTGCCAACAGTTTTGATAAATTAATATCAAATTTTAATATAATCTTTCTTTCTTTCTTTTCATTCAACATAATATTTCAGATTTTTTAAATTTTATTTTACAGTTAAGTTTAAATTATGAACCTATCAATATACTACTTTCAGTCCTTAATATAAGACCTTATTTTTCTTTTATTTTGGTTCTACATATAAGACCCCAATCCATTTTGTTTCTTATATTTATATATTTTTTTAAGGTAGTTCTTCTAACAATAATAGTTCTAGTTAACATACTTGATTAGCAAGGATATTTTAGGAAAGACAACACATATTTATTATAAATAACTACTTTAACTTCTTTCTTTAATCTTCTCAAATTAGTCAACTAGCTCTTATAATTAGGACCACGTGTAGTATTTTTTAAAGTTACAAATCAATTATATAAAGTTTGGTAAGAATTACATTTTCCATGAGAGGTTGAGAAATTCAGTCTCACAATATTGTGATGTTATAATTAAGATCTCTTTAAATAAAAATTATAGATCATTAAATTACTAGAAGTTGGATTAAAAAAGACAATGCGGTGGTAAAGAGTAATATTCAAACAGTAAACACATTTTCGTTTAGTTTATCGTGGCCTTTCTAATGAAACAGTAGTATAATTCGCAATCTCCATATCCAATATAATACTTTATTAGATTCTAAATATAAAAATTAGTTAAAAAATTATTTTAATTCTAAATACAAAGTCTTAATTCAATTTATTGTCTTTTAAATTTGTAGTTTTTTTTTTTCAAATTGTTCATATTGATTATGCATGGTGAGGGAATTTCAAACAAGGAGTAGTTCCAAGAAATGATGAAAGAGAGTATTATAGAAAATCAATACATCTTTTTAACAAATAACTAATTTTCTTAATCTATGTCAATCAAATATTTAGCTTTTATATTAAAAATCATATAGAGTAATTCCCAATTTGCACAATTTAAAAAGATTGAGTCCATTTTGCTAGCAAGAATTGGCACAATTGATGAAGAGTCAGCTTATCACTT